AAGAGCTAAGAAGCAACAATTTTATTCGACCGATGAAAGTGAATCCATTCCCTGAAACTTTTCTTGATTATGTGGCTGTCATCTAAAATCTATTACTTAGGTGGTTTACATTGAAATTCGTAGTTTCAGATTTTGCTAATACTACTCCTGATAGATATTGTAATTCAATCAATGCATCCCTTATCTCGTACCATAGTGATTTGGATCAGACAGAAAGATTAATTTAATATCATCAAGGAGCTATTTGGATTAATAATTTTATGCTAGAGACGTAACTGAGGCAGAACGGCAATTAAAGCTTTTTTTTATAATATTAAAAAAAGCACACTCTGATCATTGGTATTTTTGAGAGAGGATTCTGTTTATAGATTTACTGCTGAGTTATGAAATCTAACACAAGATTTACAGAGGATTAGTTAGAATTGAATACCAACGGTTGATAATTTTACAGAATCCTATTTAAGTTCATTATTGGGACATAATAAGTCTATAATGCACCAGCAAAATAATCAGGCAAAATGGAAAAATTGTGACTGCTAAAAATCAGAAATGAAGCAGGAATGCTGGAAACCACAGCAGGTCAATCAGCATCAGAAAGTAAGCAGGTTAACCAATTAATGGCAAAACGTTAGAGCGCAATAGTCTTTGGATTTTTATGAGCCGAGTGCTATGGGGGTGATTTTCAACTATGTTCCAATTGTCAGTATTCTCCCAGTTGTACTATATCCCCACTCCTTGAAGCTAACAACAACAACTTGGATTTATATAGCGCCTTCCACGCCGGACTGCGTCTCAGAGTGCTTTACAGTAACGAATCCCGGGACCGAGCCATTTGGGAGGGGGAGGAAGGTGACCAAAGACGCGGTCGACAAGAAAGGTCTTCAGCAGAGACCTGAAAATAGGAAGGGAGGGAGCGAGACGAAGAGAGTGAGGAAGGCAGTTCTAGAGCCTTGAGGCATAGTAGCTAAAGGCACGGCCGCTGAGGGTGGAACGGAGGACTCGGGGGACAAGGAGGAGGCCAGACCCGGAGGAACGAAGGCAACAAGTACTGTTTTGAGGAGAGAGGAGGTCAGAGAGATCGGGGGGTGCAGAGGAGTGGAGGGATTTGAAAACAAGGGTGAGGATCTTGAAATCGATCCTCTCTGCGATAAGCAGCCAGTGCAGTCTGGCAAGGACTGGGGTGATCGGGGAGCGGAGTTTCGTGCGGGTGAGAATGCAGGCTGCAGAGTTTTGAATGATTTGGATTTTATGGATGGGAGACCGGCGAGGAGGGCGTTAGAGTAGTCCAGCCGAGAGGTGACAAAGGCATGGACCAAGGTTTCAGAGCTAACGATTTTGTCTCTTGTCAGTGGAGCAACGTGGAAAGTATTATTTGTACATTATTGTTCCTCATCAAACTCAATTTCAGAGCTTGGCAAATGTGGTATGAAATAGCTAGTTGCATTCTGTAGTGCCAGCAGCCTAGAAGCAGCTTGGGATGTTCACAACCTTTGGCTGGGGAAGCCTTTGCTTGCCTGATGCCGTATTCTGAAGCAGTTAATGAATAAAGAATGTCCTTTGAGGACCGTACACTGATCAAGCTTCATTTTTTAATTACAAATTGAACTGCTCCTGAAAATCACCTCCTGCTCCTCCAGCATAATTTGCCCTGATTAGCGCTAACACTACATAGTGCAGTATCAGGGCAGCTTTAATGATTAGAAGTCTCTTTTGGTGGGATTTTGTGTGAGTGGGGGAAGGGGGAGAGAGGGTTTGCAACGAGATGCTTTATCGATTCACCCCCAAGGTTATGTTTGCTGGCAGATCGGACGCGGACGTTTAATCAGTGTGAAGAGTTGCACTTACTATTTGCAACTGTGAGTGACAGGAAGGTTTAATCTGATTGTTAGCTAATGATCCAGAAGTAGTTCAAATTGAAATGAAGTGCTTCCCAGAAGTTTGCTCCTGGTGCAATTCCTTCCACCTGTCCGGGGAGAAGCAATTAATCGCACTGCTTTTATACAAAGGCAGCACGAAGAGTGAATCTCATGGTGGATTGCTGCCCGAGCATTGCTCTTAATACACGGCTGTTGCTCTTTTAGTTAAACTTTTGTGACAGCCTTATCCTGGTTGACTGCCAAGAAAATGATAGTAGCAGTGGCTGGGAATAGCTTTTTTTCCCCCCTGGTGCTGTTTAGGTAAGAAAAAGAACTCAAAGGTACCTTCATATGTGAAGCATATGAAATTATTGTGTCACTAATATGATGAGATCATCGCTGCTAAGCATTCAGCGACTGTAGGTGGTGAGATCTAAAAGCCAGATGGGAGCCAGCAAGTTGAAGTTAATTTGAAGGGCCAATCTTTGTTTGTCCTTTGTCTTTCAAGCGCTCTGGGACGCTATCCTTCGTGATGGGCGCTATACAAATGCAAGTTGTTGTTCTGCGTGATGACAGGAGTGTCATTGTCCACAAAACCTCATGGTGTAAAAGTGGCATTCCACTTTCAGATCTCGTCTGTGTATTAAACTGAAGCTGGTAACTGCATCTCAGCTTTTCGTGCTGTTGAGTTTGCTTGTTCTCCAGTATACTTCACAACAACGATTTGCATTTATATAGCGCCCTTCACATGGGGTCGTATCTTAGGCACCTAGAAAGATGGGCACGATTGAGTGGCATAGATCTGCACAGTAACAATGTTGAAGAAAATACCAAATGACAGAAAGGAAGAGGCTTCTTTCAGGGTTAATGTTCAGCAGTGAAGTGGCTCCTTTACGTTCTTCCCTCCATGATTCACAGCCACTGGGAGTGCTCCAGATAAAGTATCAGCTCTTTACTTTGTAATACAGTCATCCATGTTACATACAAGTGGCATCTGATGGTTTCTGTACTGTTCTGCCCTCGCCACCCGCTCAGTACGTAAAATGAAGGTGCTAGCACAGTGTCTGCGTACCTGAGACTATTAGTATTCAGTTCACGAATGAAGCTTGGCCCTTCAAGTTGCAAGTTGTCGGTCATCAGAGGGCGAATGGATGTCATTGATGCAATTCTACTGGTACTGAACACTAGTAGAATAAGTGTCATAATTCTGTATTATTCAGCCAACGAATGATACAGAATTATAGGATTTAATCTACTGATATATACAGTTGGTTTTCCCTGCGGATGGATTAGTCACATGTGAATTATTACTTTATTAACTCTGAGAGCAGAATTTCTGAGATTCATCTGTGATGTGTTACATCTTTCCTGATGGAATCTCAATCCTAAAAAGAGCAGAGCACATTTCGCAGGCCGTTCTCTGTGACGTCTTTGCTTATTTTCATTGATTTATTTGATTTCTTGTAGATGGTTTTCTGCGAGTGAAGAAGTGTCACTTGAACTTTGGCAACACAGTGCCATTGAGTTCAATTAGCCGGTTCCATTGCAATTGAATTACTGTACTTTAACCTGTGAATGCGCAGGTAGCTTAGCTGTCGGGTACGTGGGGAAATCCAGACTCTACAGAATTAATTTCGCTTTCATTAATTTGTTCTTCCTGAAGGAATCATTAAATTACCACAACGCCTCAATTTACACAAGAGCCTTTGTTTTAGAAAACTGTCACATTTAATTAACACAGATCCTGATCAAAGTAGTGTGCATCCCACCTAATGGGTTTTAATTTTATGCTTCAGTCAATTTGCTTCGGAAAACATCTACAAGACATCTGCAATTGAAAGGAAAAATGTCATGCTGGTACATTAAGATGTACTGCATGCTAATTCTTTCAAAGAAAAATTCAGAATGTAAATTTATATAAAGGCAGGGAATCAGCCTATTTCTAATGCTAAACTGTTTGAGGGGGAAAAAAACTTTTGATTTGTGTAAATTTGTGTCCCTGATTATTAATTCATGGTAATGTCACAACATAGTGCTTATTCAGAAAAGACTGTTCTCTTACTCCTTTGGGTCTTGGTATTCAGATCATGTCTACACCTTGAGAAAAAGACAGTATATCGCTAATCAACCATCTACGTGTTACAGTGGAAAATGCCCATGGATCTCTTCAAACTATTCAACTGCAAGGGCTTGAGTCCTTTCCCAAAATCTTCATTGCACAGCCATAATTACTGCCCCATCTGAAGTCAAATAACTTGAGCAATGACTGGGAATCGAATGAGCAGCTTAATCGATATGTAGTAAAATTTGCAGAAATTCTCCTTTATCAATAGATATGGGTCAGAGAGTATCCACAGCGTCAGTGATTTAATAAAATCTAATTTATGGTTGTGCTGTGGTGATTTTACCCACTAAGACAAAATGAGCCTGACATTATGTAGCCAGTGTCGGACAGTTTCACTAGTTCTACTGTATGCTCCAAACTTCTATCTTAGTACATGCATGTTTCCTGTAAGGGACATTGACATTTTGCAGATGGCTTCACAAGAAGCAAATTCATGTTACTAGCTTGTTTCAAATAAAAATAGAACGTAGTTTAGGATTTCCTCAGCATTACATCTCTCTCTGATTCATAGAGCTGCTTGCCATGGTTGAAGTATTTCCAGAATAACAATTCCTGTGTGAAATACAGAAACGTGAAGGAATAATGTGGTCCATCAAGCCTGTTCTGCTATTTTATGAGATCAGAAACTCCGTGAGCCATGGAGAATTTCTGCAAAGGGCATGGCACACATTGCAATGTTAAGCATCTAATGTTTAGACCTCGGAACCCCACTATAGCCTTGCAGTTTTAAAAAGAAAGACATTATGGTTTAATGATGTGCTTCATTTCCTTTTACAAAAGATCAGCACTAACTATAAATCTATTTTACCTAACTCCCTCGACACATCTGTAAAGTTTGGGAGGGTTAGAAGAATGCAAATACTTGTAAATGAAAACTAATTTCTAAATTCAAGATTGGGATACATTACATTAAGTACAATAGCTAACGCATAAACCCACTGGACTCAACTAAATTGTCATTTCATTTTGTTCGAGATTTCAGTCTAAATGCATTTATTTGTCTTTGCCTTGTCTTGCAGCTTTTATAATCATGATCATCCTGGCTCTGATCAGAATCGGCAGAGACCGAGGAGAAGGTCATCCACCCATTGCCAATCTGTCCGGCATTCCCAACCTGTTTGGGGTGTGCGTTTACTCCTTCATGTGTCAACATTCGCTGCCTTCGCTCGTGACACCCATCAATAAGAAGAAACACATCAACAAACTCGTTCTAGTGGATTATGTACTCATCTTGGGCTTCTACAGCCTCCTTTCCTTTACAGCCATTTTCTGCTTCAGCAACCTGAAGGACATGTACACTCTTAACTTTACGAGCAACTGTGACGTCATTGATGTACCCTTCATCCGCTACTTTCTTGGTCTGTTCCCCGTTTTCACCATAAGCACTAATTTCCCAATAATTGCGGTTACGTTGCGGAATAACTGGAAGACCGTATTCCACAGAGATGGGGGGATGTACCCGTGGGTGATCGACAGAATCATCTTTCCCCTCATCACAATAATTCCTCCAATAGTTGTTGCCTACTGCACACACGACCTGGAGACTCTGGTGGGTGTTACTGGTGCCTACGCCGGCACAGGCATACAGTATATTATTCCCGCGTGCCTGGCCTATTTCAGCAGAAGGGACATTGGGTTTGTGTTCGGAAACGATGTTCAGAACAAGCACAGGTCACCCTTCAAACACACATTCTGGATAATCTTTGTGTTGGCCTGGTCGCTCTCTTGTTTCATGTTTGTGACGACCAACATTGTACTGACTGAGACAGTCCATTGAGACTCCTCCTCGCAGGCGAGAAGGAGATCTTACATTGTCTTGTCTCAACAAAGGAGCAAAAGCTGCTTCAAACTTAGCAAAAGAAAATCAATTTATACTAAAGTTTAATTAAGTCACTATATTGTACTATACAATTGCTATTTTGTTCCCCATCTTTCCCTCTTTCTAAAAACTAAATAATGAAGCCTTTGTTGTCTTGGATTGGCGTTAAAGAATTTCAGCAGAATTCAGATTTTAGCTTACATCTCTGTGAAACAAATGATTTGATGATTTTCTGTGATGCTGTAGCCATTCATGTTTCGTGATCATTGTTAAGTGATTATCAGGATTCACGTTGTGAAAGGCACATTTTCCCTGATCACCCCCAGAGGGAAACTGTTCGAAAATCTTCACCTTTTTTTGTTGCATATAATCATTGGCAATAACCATAAACCACCAAGTGGCTGAACATTTTTCACATCAAAAATTCAATCTACTAATGTCATTGAACTGCTTGAAATTGCGTAGGCCTCCAAGATGGAACAAACCTTGCTTAAAGGCACAAGTGCTTATCAGTGAACTAACTCAAAACCCGGGTGGCATTCAGCTCCATGAAATCATGGTGGGCACAGTGAATCTTCAAGACTGTACAACTAAATTGATTAAACGCACAAGTGCTTATAACTGGACTAGCCAAAAACATGAGTGACTATGCTGGGTCTTGTTGACAATCTCTTGTATCTGAATTCACTTTGTCGAAACCCATGTAAGAAATGTTTATTTAGTTAATCCTGAGATAGCTGTGTGGCAGTTGTGATTGTTTGTATTTTTGGTCCATCTCTTAACGAGTGGTGCTCTCAGTTTAACAAAATCATTATCACCATTTGCATTCATCAGCCACCCAAGATCAAAGTGTAAGGAGGAAACATACTTGAGGTACAAAACCAGACTGGAGCAAATGGTATTATTTGGCTGCACAACTCTGGTTCTCACCCAAGCATTCGTATTTGGACGATGTTTAAAAAGAAACACTTCCAGCCCTCTCCTGGGTAACTAAATGAAGTACTCCACCTGGAGAGACAAGCTGACATCAAGAATTATTCTGTTCAGTGAAGGATATAGTTTACAAACACACTGAGAGCAATCCTACCTTGGTTTTTAAACCAAAAGAGGTAGAATTTAACTTTTTACCAGTAAGTCAGTGTTCTCTTGATTCTTCCTGTTGCATTTTAGTTCCTGTTGTACGGTGCTTTAATATGTTCAAATTAATTTATAAGGTGGTGACTCTGAGGCAGAATTTACTTTGCGGAGCATATTGGGAATAAAAACTATTTGAGGATGCAATTTGCATAATTTGCTTATTTTGAGTCCTGGAAGAGGATACATATGCATGAGGTGGGTTGTGTGGGTCACGCAGAGGAATGAACAGCAGCTGTCTACACTCGCCAACATCCAGGGGAATTAATGTCTGGAACAGGCATGCAATTAAGTGGTCCTCAGTATACTGAGAGGGGAGTGGATAGTCGAGCAGAAGAAAACTCAGTCACCATGAAGGAGACTGGAGCCACCGGTACAGGAAACTTGAGTCAGAATCCATTTAATAGTTTTCAATACCTTTGACATGAACAAATACAGTGACTCAGGAGAGGTTACTTAGCCATGTGGTCAACTACAAGACTATCCACGGCAACAGGTAACGGGTAGTTAATAATAGGAGAGGTAGCTGCTTTTCAGAGTTTCGCCCACAAAACATACACTCAATTCACTTTACAGTAGATTCTGTGAAGCTCTTTGAAACGTCGAGAAGACATGATAAGGTGCTATATCAAATGCAAGGATTATAATTATTATTATAACTTGAATTCCAAGAATTGCCTGGTGTGGAACACTGCAGCTTTCGATAGTCGATTGTATGTGTTGTTAAGACTAAGAATGTTTGCAAGCAAAAAATACATGTCAGAAAGGCTGATGGCTCAGTAAGTCCAATGTAATAACTTCAAGGATTAAATGGGAGGAGACGAAGCTGCTAATCCTTTCTGAATGCCGTGCGTTTGGGAGAGGCTGACTGTAAACTGGTTGGTGGGTGTTAGCATTAGGCTGCTCTGGGAAAATTTCTAAGTCATCACTTGTAATCCATTTTTGCCTTTGGAGACAAGAACGACTATCTGAGTCAGTGTAATGCTAAAAAAAACCTCAAGCAGACCCTCACAAGAGAAACCTGCAGATACCGCGTGTGATAATGGGCCCAGAGTTCCTGAGTAGGTGGTTGATGAATAATATTCTGATGCATATCATGAGCACATTAGACTTGAGTGACTACTAACAATTACCTATTCAGAAAGGAGCTTAGCTACTGTGCTTGGCATTGGACAGTTAGATAGACCTTTGCAACGACTGCAGATTATGAGGTCTCAGATCAGTCTGCCCCCAAACTGCCCTGGTCACAAGGAAAACAGAAGTGTGGTATGACCAGGAAGTGACGCACACCTGGTAAATACACCCCAACCTCACTATAAACCTGTGTTCAAGTTTGTGATCAATTCTTGGCCTGGTTCTGATCTTTAGGAATACTAGACTGACTTCAATCTCAGATAGCAGCAGAGAAGAGTGATTAGATTGGAACAGAGGAATGTATTGATGTTGCACAACTGAAATAAAGGAATGGAAAGGAACGCTAACTGACTAGGAACCTTGGCTCCTTTCCCTCTTCGTTGCACACAAGCGATTACTAAACACATTTGCAGTGCCCTTGGGGTTATGTTGGCATTTTATACAACTTACTCCAATATGGGGGAAAAAATGAAATTTGTCTGGAGCTGTAAGGATGATTAAGTGGATTGTCCTCTTTGTTTGTACTTTTATGTATTTATTGTTGCTCAGCTCAAGTACTTTGCTTTTCTGAAAGATTGCAGTCTGCAAAAAAAATACCTGACACAAGCACAATAACAGTCTGCAGATGGAATACCAATCAAACCTCTGTGGCATTTTGTTTTTTTGCCACTCGGGTTGAGTAAATTACATGAAATCTGTGATGGGTTTCTTTGACGATTTAGTTACCATAATGAAATATCATTATTCCAGATCATTTACAATCTAGATATACAAGCTACTTCTGGAATTTCCAGATGTACTGATAAAATGGAAAGACCATTTTCTCTTGGGTAGTTCGTTGGTGAAGGAAGTGATTTGAGGGTATAAGAGAGTGGATGCATTTTTCATTATTTCTGGACCAACTGCAGTGATCCTTTGCAATCCTATACATAACATCATGGAATTATATAGCACAGAAGGAGGCCATCTGGCTCATCGTGTCTGTGCTGGCTCTTTGAAAAGAGCCATCCAATTCAATCCCACTCTCCCGCTCTCTCCCCATAGCCCATAGCCCTCCCAAAATTATCTACTTCTCTCTTAAAACCTGTTATTGACTCGGCTTCCACCTGCCTTTCAGGCAATGCATTCCAGAACCGAACCACTCGCTGTAAAAAAAGTTTCTCCTCACCTCCCCTCTGTTTCTTTTAACAACTATTTTAAATCGGTGCCCTTGGGTTACCGACCCACCCGCCAGTAGAAATAGTTTCTCCTCGTTCACCCTATCGAATCCCCTCATAATAATAATAATAATCCTTGCATTTGATATAACTCCTATTAAGTCTCCTCTTAACCTTCCCTGCTCCAAGGAGAATAATCCCAGCTTCTCTTGTCTCTCCTTAAATCTCTCGCTGAGGCCTAACCAGTGTTTTATAAAGGATCATCATCATTTCTTGACTCTTGTATTCTATGTCCCTATTTATAAAGCCGAATATCCCATATGCTTTTTTAACAGGTTTATCTACCTGCCCTGCCACCTTCAAAGATTTAGAATCATAGAATCGTACAGCACAAAAAGAGGCCATTCGGCCCATCGAGTCTGTGCCGATTCTTTGAATAGAGCAATCAATGTCAATCCCACTCCCCAGCCCTTTCCCCATAACCCTGCGAACCCGTCCTCCTCAAATACCCGTCCACCACGTTTTTAAAAGTTGTTATCGAATCGGCCTCGACCTCGACCACCCTTTCAGCCAATGCATTCCAGATTCGAACAACTCGCTGCGTGAAAATATTTCTTCTCACCTTCCCTCTGCTTCTTTTAGATACTATTTTGAATCTGTGACCTCGAGTCACCGACACACCCACAAGTGGGAACAGTTTTTCCCTTTCTAACCTATCAAATTCACTCATGATTTTGAAGAGCTCTATTAGGTCTCCTTGTAACCTTCTCTGCTCCAATGAGAATAATCCTCACCTCTCCAGCCTTTCCTCATCATCACGGTCCCTCATTCCTGGTACCATCCTCGTAAATCTCCTCTGTACCCTTTCCAATGCCTTAACATCCTTCCTATAGTGTGGTGCCCAGAACTGGGCAGTATTCTAACTGAGGCCTAACCAGTGTTTTATATCGGTTAATCATAACCTCCTGACTCTTGTACTCTATGCCCCTATTTATAAAGCCCGGTATCCCATATGCCCTTTTTACAGCGTTATCTACCTGTCCTGTCACCTTCAAGGATTCATTTACCTGCCCCCCCAGGTCTCTCTGTTCTTTCACCCCCTTAAGATTGTATTACCGCCTATATTGCCTCCCCTCATTCTTTGTACCAAAATGCATTGTCTCACATTTCTCCACATTGAAACTCATCTGCCATGTGTCGCCCATTTTACCATTCTGTCTATGTCTTCCTGCAGTTGGCTACTATCCTTCTCACTGTTTACTACCCTAACTAATTTTGTGTTGTCCGCAAACTTGGAAATGGTACTTGCTATATCCAAGTCCAGATCATTTATGTATATTAAGAAGGGCAGTGGTCCTAATACCGATCCCTGGGGGACGCCACTGTACACTTCCCTCCAGTCAGAAAAGCAGCCGTTCACCACAACTCTCTGCTCTCTGTCTCCCAGTGAGTTCTGGATCTATGCTGCCACTGTCCCTTTTATACCATGGGCTTCTATCTTTCTTACAAGTCTTTCATGTGGCACTTTGTCAAATGCCTTTTGAAAGTCCATATAAACTACATCAACTGCATTACCTTTATCCACCCTCTCCGTTACCTCATCGAAAAATTCTGTTAGATTTGTTAGACAAGATTTGCCTTTAACAAATCTCCATGTCGGCTGTCCCTATTTAACCCATATTTTTCTAAGTGAAGATTTATTCTGTCCCAGATTATAGTCTCCAGGAGTTTCCCCACTACTGATGTTAGGCTGACTGGCCTGTAGTTCCCAGGTTTATCCTTCTGTCCCCTCTTAGACGTGAAAAGCGCTATATCAAATGCAAGGATTATTATTATTATTTTGTACAGGGGAGTCACATTGGCCACTCTGGCCCTCCAGTCCTCTGGCACCACTCCTGTGTCCAACAAAGATTGAAAAATTGTAGCCAAAGCCTCCGCTATTTGTACCCGTGCCTCCCCTAGTAACCTTGGTTGCATCCTCTCCGGACCGGGCGACTTATCTACCTTCATCTACCTTACTTATATGAACCCCATGGTCTCTCTGTTTCTTCACCTCCTTTAAGATTCTACCATCAGCTTATAATTCTGCCTCGAGCCGGGACAGGCTCGAGGGGCCGAATAGCCTACTCCTGCTAATTCTTATGTTCTTATATTTTCTCTTCTCATTCTTCCTCCCAAAATGCATCATTTCGCATTTCTCCACATTAAACCTCATCTGCCACGTGTCTGCCCATTTTACCAGTCTGCTACTGTTCTCCTCACTGTTTACTACTTTTCCTGGCTTAGTATCATCTGCAAACTTGGAGACTGTACTCCCTGTACCCAAGTCCAGGTCATTTATATAGATCAAAAACAGCAGTGGTCCCAATACCGACCCCTGGGGGACATCACTGAACACTTCCCTCCAATCAGAAAAACAACCGTTCACCACACTCTCTGCTTTCTGTCTCCCAGTCAGTTCTGTATCCATATTGCCACCGTCCCTTTAATACCGTGGGCTTCTATTTTGCTTACAAGTCTCTTATGTGGCATTTTATCAAACACCTTTTGAAAATCCATATCAACTACATCAACTGCTCTACCTTCTCTACGCTCTCCATTACTTCATTAAAAAANCTCTTATCAGGTTTGTTAAACATGATTTGCCTTTAACAAATCCTTTATTAACCCATATTTTTCTAAGTGAAAATTTATTTTGTCCCGGATTATAGTCTCTAGAACTTTCCCCACTACTGACGTTGGGCTGACTGGCCTGTAGTTCCCGGGTTTATCCTCCTGCCCTTTTTGTACAGGGGAGTAACATTTGCAACCCTTCAGTCCTCTGGCACCACCCCGGTGTCCAAGGAGGATTGAAAT